CCTTAGACATACACACTCTCTCTGGCTTGCTGGCCAAGCTGAGAAAGGTCACAGCCACCTGGGATCGAGGCCAGAGTGAGGAGGAGAAGGGAGGCAGGGTGAGGCACAGGGAGTTCTGTCTGGATGTCAGTCCCCACCATCTCATAGAAAGGCCAGCAGCAGCACCTGTCTGCCTCAGGTCCCCATTCCTGGCTAAGCCGGCATCCCTAATGCTGTTGCCCCGGAGAGGGGCCTGTTGGGAGCATGAGGCTTTACTTCCCTGATTGTCAAGACCCTACCTCCCACCCAATCATTTCTTCTAGTGCCTTGTCCACAGCACCCCACCCTCATGGGCACACCCACCCTTATCCAAAAGCCACCCAGTTAAAGTTTCTGCTGCTTTGGCAATGGGGAAGTGCTGCAGCCCAGATCCAGAAAGAGGAATTGAAATAGGGTAGGGGTGGAAGTCCACCTGGACTGCGCAGGGGTCCGGCAACCATCAACTCTTCCAAATTAGGAAGCTTAAAGGGCTGGTGGGGCGGCCACGCGTGCACCAGCCACCACCCTGGGCGAAAGCAGCACCCCCATCCCCCTCAGTGCTCCGTTTTCCCAGCACAGGCATTAAAAATACACATCGCCTGGGAGCAAGCGGGCTGCTCCCACCCGGGGGCCACTCCCTTGCCAGGCCAGAGCGAGGCCACGGCGGAGGGGCGGTCCAAGGGGTCCCTTCGCTTCCCCGGGCGGCCTCCCGCCCCCCGGCCCCAGGGGAAGCGGCGGCCGCCAGGTGTCGCGGGCTATTTCTGGGTGTGGAGGGGGAGGGGGAACGGTAAGAGGGACAGGGAACTGGGGCGCGGGGGTCGGGAAGTCCAGGAGGGAGTCTTCCCAGCTGCCATCTCCTCTGTTAAAAGAGACTCCCGCTCCTTGAAACCTTTCCTCCCTTAGGCTTTACGCTCCGGGCCGCGACTGAGAACGGCTAATTCATCCTTCGCGGGGCCCTGCCCCCTCGGGGCTCTAAGCGAGAGCGAGGTGCCCGAGGCGGCGCGGGTGGGGGTAGTGAAGGATCTGGAAGGTCCCGAGGAAGGCTGCGCGGGCTGGAGAAAGACCTGGGAAGAGGAGGGGCCCGCAGCCCCGAGGACAGCGAGGAACCTGGGGAGAGGGGCCGCCGGCACGGAGCGCGGCGAGGGGAACGCACCCCAACTACCGGGATGCGGGGGTGAGGA